GTATGCCTCTGCTTGAGCGAATTTAACCGTATGCTTCAAGAACTTTATGGGTTATTTGAGCGCTACTCATGTTCATAAGTTTTCAAATAGCCATATGTTCCCAACCATTGGTTTTGGCTGCGTCATAGACCCTAACCTTGAAAACGTATATATATATACCGCAAGGAAACCATCTCGAGCACTACGAGACAATGACGGTACTAAAGCTGTTTTCAAATAGGAGTTGGTTGAACATTTATCGAAGCAAGACGACGTCAGTCATCTTGAAGAAGCATAGCTTCATCTCCAGTCTGCATTAATAACATCATAACTAACTCGCATGAAGGGATTGGAGAGGCTGCGTGGATCTCAGCAGCTTCTTTTAGTTCAATAAACACGCTCCTGCAGGTTCAGATCATGAGCAACCGAAGCAACTCAGATGGAAACTGGCGAGATGTCTACATAGTGGCAACGAGTAGTGGTGGGTCGCGAAGGCTAAAGATGGAAAAGGCTGCGGCAACAGGTAACAGCGGATAGCTGTTTAGGCTCTTCAAGGAAACTAAAGCGAAAGAGTCAATAGCAAATGAGACTACAGCAGAGTATGATGGGTTTGTGATTCATTCGCAGGGAAGACGAGTGGAAAGATGGATGGAACACTCCTAGAACCATTTCAACTGGCTTCCAGCTACTATTATGTTGTCTAATCTCAAGTCATGTCGTATAACCGACACCATAACAAACTCGCCAATTCTTGTAGAGGATGTTAGTAACCTGGGATGCAGAAGGGTATTAGGAAGACATGGACTAGTACCGGAGACATTCAAGAACAGTGTTCTAAGATTATTGGTTGCTCTAACTGAACTGCTAGCTAGCTTATCGGAATCAGATATGGTCCCTTCTGACTGGTCTCAATGAATGGCTGTCCCAGTAATCAAGGAAATAGAGAAATTCCCTTCTGATAACCCCAGGGAAATTAGTCTAACGAACATAGTGTGAAAGATTATAAGATCTATAATCATTAGACGTTCAAGTACATATTGGGAACATCTAATCCGGGGAAAGCAGGCAAGTTTCAGAGCTGATCAGGAGTGCATCGACCAGACAATCACTCTTCATGAGCTTCTGGAACACAGGAAAATTTACCGATGCTAGCCGAATTTTTCTACCTAGGTATCACATTTGCTTCAGTTGATCGAGAGGTGTGATGACAATGTCTCTCACTGAACGGGGTACCCAATAAGTACATCACTTCGTAGTGGGCTCTGCACTCAAACATCCATGGGCTAGCTGAAGTTTAAAGTGAGTTGTTCACGTCGAGTGGTTCGCATCAAGGATATCTACTTCTTATTCAGCAATGTCATTTACAAACTTATGCAAGTCTTCCTCTCCTCATCTAACTTTTCAGAAACCGACTTGATCACGCAATAATCTGTAGTAAATCTGGAGTATGGAGATGAAATACTTCCGTTGGGTGAAGATGCTGACAAGATACATAGTCTTCTGGATATATTGAGTAGCAATCTAAGAATGTTTAGGATGCGTTTCTCGTCACCCGAATTGTTTCTCCAGGACTGATCTACTTTGGTGCACGGTCTAATGGTTCAGTGCGTTGACCAATTCCCCTCCATAGCAACTTGGATGTCAATTTTGACTTATTTCCCAATACAATACGTTATCAAATATCCGAAATAAAGTTATGTTTCAAAGCAGGCTGTAATACAAGAATTCGCATACCTGCAGAGGGTTTCAATGCCGAATATGCACGCCTACATTTCTGATTCCATACAGAAAGTAAAGAAGCTGTTTTCATCCCTGCACAATATTTGCAGCTATTATGCTTCATAATGTGGTCTTAATGAAGACCACACCGTCACTGCCAATTCAGAATGTTAAACATTCAATCAGCTTTAGAGAGTCTATTAATATAATGAATTTTTGCATGATTTTATTGATATGGAAGTCAAAGAAGTGCAGACTAGGGGCGTGTAATAGAAGCAGGCACCAAATATTCGGCTGTATAGAAACACTTTTCTCTAGGTCAGTGTGCTAGCGTCTAACAATGATCGCCCAAACGTTTGTCTTCCAAATTCACAACATTGTCGCCAGTAATCGAAGCCGCTTACAATAACAGTAGTACAAGTAATCGGTGAGATTTTACTTAATTATCCCATTGATAAAAAGAGACTTTCATCCGCTGCCGTTATATTGGATAAATTGATGTAAATGTTTCCCATAAATAGTCTTTTTTTCGGTAACACCAATTAGATGTGGTGAACCAGCATCCTCAGATAAAACCCAAGAGCTTATGCGTATTGAGTAGTTATCTCCTGGGTGAAAACTCACGCCACTTTATTCATGAGTGAGTTTTACTTCGATTCTTCACTAATAATTGATTGTCATTAGTATATTTTGTAAGCCTCATTGAACGAGGCATATTCAAAAGTTTCTATTGTCAAATTACTAGTTTCATGATGATCCTCTGTCATATTTGACGTCAATGATGAATATTGTCATGAGTCCACATCTCCGATCTTAGTTTACTACGTTGGGTGTACCGTAAAAGTTTGGCGTTGTTAACACTTCATTCGATAAAGGGATAAGATTCAGGATTTGATATTTGAATTCTTATTCGCTTAACGGTTATTACCGAATAATGTGCAGGATCATTGTTTTCTGAGAAGGATGTGTATGCCATTCTGCATTCGAAATATGTGTCCTACTTTCAGCATCTGCTAAAATACATCTTGTTAGTTCGGTACTGTGATAGAATGTAATTTCGTTTTTGTTGATTTATTAGAAGTTACCCAGTGAGACAGTATTATTCTCTGGATTACGTTTCGGGCAAAATGCTTTGTCCATATTTATATGATTATCAAAAGTAATCCAGTAAATATTACTGCTTCACTTTGTGAAGCACCTAATAAGCTAAGCAAAATGGAAAATACTTTTAATTGCCACTATGACGGATTGAGAGATTAGACTAGTTATTAAGGTCAAATCACCTAGCATTTGTTATTACAGCTGTTTATATGATCGTCATATTAGCAACAGCACTGTGGAAATAGAGAATACTTTAATACTATACGATGTCAATCAGAGAAGGTTACAAATGTAATATCTTTCAAATACTATAGTTCTAAGCTAGTGCCAGTGTATCAAACCACACAGTCCCTCAAGTAGTTCAAAGTATACAGATTTCCGAATCTCGTTACTCCCAAATGTGTATATAGAATCGCGTGTACGTGTGCTAGGGGGTACATTGGACATTTATCAAAGATTTCTGAGCAAGTTTCAAAGACTCTGTGTGTCAGGGGGGTTCATAGTTGTTTAGTATCGGTTTACCACGTTCTACAGTAGGTTTGTGGGAACAGCGGAAATAACCAAGACCTTCAGAAATCTTAACGGAAGGGGAATGCCACCTTCACTTCATTTTGCAGAAGCCAGTGCAACTTATGTATTGTCACGGTGGCGTTTCGGAAACCTCTTGAGTTTTTTTTATCATCAATTTAGTACCTCTTTATTTAACTGACTCCGACACTATAATCATTGTGAATTTAAACTGCTTCTCTGTGATCAGCTTATCACGATAATCCTAGTAGTTTTTACACTATTTTTTTATCATATTGCAATTCTGGTCTTTCCTTACCTACGTGCTCTAGAACATTCGTTATTCTTAGTTGTAATAATACAATAACTGTAACCTTGATGTGATGTTCCTCACACATGTGCTCTAACATTCAAATGTCAAAATGAATATATTAAAAACTAACATGTTTAAAAAACTCATTTGTAAAGATTTTCGAAGTAGGTTGCGATTCTAGAAGATATATCAGATAAAATGACTTCATCTCATTCTGAAAATGACATTTTGATTGAGTTATTTAAATCTGAATTCAGTTTCCAATGTTCACTGTATCTTCATCCACCTTCGTCGATAATTTCCCCTTAATCTAGATCCGTAATGGTCCATTGATCTTCACTTGCTGCACTGCTTTGATTCAGCATTAACTTATTCTGTATTCCAGCTTTAAGTTAGACATGTAGTCTCCAACTTATACTTCCAATGTAATAAATAGCCCTAAAGTATTCGAAATTTGGTTTACTAGTTGTACTTTTATCAGGATTTACAATGATTATTCTTAGTATTAGGAAACGTGTTTTAAGTGACAAATTTCAGTTGTGCGACTGAAAACTAAAAGTACATATATAGATCATATACTGAAAATTCATAAAAATGTGCTACTGATTGGCTTATAAATTTATTCTGTAGTAATGATCTAAGCAGTATCCTCTTCCAAACCCTACCCAAAGTGTTTACTTACTGCTTCTGGCACACAGTTGATGAGGACTTCCTCGCATTCCTCAAACAAACTATTCACCACAGTTCAACATTGCATTCTATGATGTTGTCTTCATTCAAAATGATGATTTGCAGTCACTTACAGTTAAATACCTACACCTCTGTCATGGGGTTCAAAAAGTGAAATAGAATGAAAAACATTATATACCTTTCCGCCTACACTATGGAATTTAGAAACTACAAATCATAATGAGCTATTTTCGTTGGCAAAAGAGTACTGCCGTAAATCTAAGAGATAACAACCGGATATCTGAGGAAATGATTATTAAGTTCAAGGTTTACGTGGCGGTAAGAATACACTCAAGCAAACAATAAAGTTTTAGCTGACTGGCACAAGGAGGATAAAACATGTCTGACAGATTCCTTTTATATCAATCACCAAATACGACAAAAAGTGTCAACAATCCCACAGTAACTCATAACAGCATAAAGGCATACATGCATGCAGTGTATATACCAACAACAGCCAACAAATTTGACGTAGTAAATGAACTGCAAAAACCACAAACTCGAATAGTAATAACCCTCTTTTTAAAAGAGTGGCAATCGTGACTCAGCCAGCCAATAGATAACTGTCAAGTCTAAAATAAGACTAAAATACTGAGTGACCATTCCGGGTTCCACTACTACCCAATACCTAGTCATTTAAGAAAAGAGGACAGAAATATACATATGAATGTACTTGTCATTAACAAAGAGCATGATGTGAAAAGTTGTTGTGCGTCATATTCACGAATACAGATTAGTAATCAAATTAAAATGATATTACAAATGCGTTAAAATCAATGATTTTGTAATATTGCTTCTTGAAATATTATAAAAGTTCTTAGAAAAAGACATTTATCAAAAAGGAAGAGTAAGAAAACATGAAAATCACTGATGAATGCATGTATGAGTATTCTTAAAATATCACGAGTGAGTTTTTTCACTTATAAATCATGCATACTTATAAGGTATATTCATATTCATATATTAAAACAAGTAGATGAAAACAGTTGCATATGGCAGTGTCGTTATTGGCATCTAGGAATGTTATATATTACACATCTGAGCTTAAATGATGTGGCCAAAAGTTGATATGATATACCCTCCGACTGTTCACCTTTTTAACAGTGTGTGGCGTTGAGGTTGACTGCAGTTTCGATTGTGATAGAGAAGATTCAGCGTACTGATCTAGGATGGGTTCAGTTTCTTGTCTAGTTTTTGTTGACAGCTGATTTGGAGATCCTTGTCCACGAAGATTATATAAGATAAATATGCAGTCGGCTAGAGACAGTAAGCCGTTAGCTGCATTAGGATTTATAATTGATTCAGTTGAGAATAAGTACTCCTATCAACATAAAGCATACAAACTTCCCCTTAAATGAATGAGATTAGGAAGGCAAATTTCAAAAAAATCTAAGAAAGCTCTTTTGATCCATCACAAGTAACTCATTTGCTCTTCCAATAGGAATCTTATTCTGAACACTCATTTTCGGCGTAAAAAATAACTCAGAACTTGCTGACCATAACGTAGTAGTAAACTTATTTCCCTTTAACTGACTCGAAACAGATGATTCATCATTTAATTTCAATTCTTTACATCATGTAGTCTATTAGATCAGAGAGAAAAGAATAAAAACACTCCATGGTAGCATCTTTTTTTAGCAACAGATAATAATCCCCTAGTCAATTTATACAACGTAGTTTGGATATAGAGATGTAAATGACTCGTGTATTTGGTTAGAAGATGAAATCCTGCAAAATATTAGTTAGGTTCAGTAAACACTAACTATTTTTAACTGCTTTTTACCTAGATGTATCGCGGGTTATTAGCAGACATCACCATCAAACTTTGCCACTAGATTTAGAGGACTTCATTCAAGAATCCTGTTCATGTTATAGACTTCTATGTACACATGTAGTTCATTGCACAACGTAATGAAAAATAACTGACTCCTGGAAAGTTTTAAATTTTAATGCTGTAGCCTGTTAACCAATCTGTGGAGAAGCCTACTGGATCCAGGTTTCATATTTCTTGGCACTAATCAGCAAGGTGTATCTGTAACTTTAATGAGACTCAGGTATGCTAGAAACTTAATTGTACGTTATTCTTCAGAGGCTTCACCACTAAGGTTTTCAAATCACGACTGATCCTCAATACGGACCTGACTCGTTTTAGGGAATGATATCCTTAAACGCCTAAATAGTGCATATTGTAAGAATCAGCCATTTGCAACACAAAATTTAGGTCTTTCCATTTCCCAGGCTCTCCTTCAAAATATTTTTCATTTCCCATAGAATGTTTACTTTGTCTGATGAGTTTTTATGCGACAGGAGTTTCTACCACGAGTAAGCGTTAGAAAGATAAGCAGTTCAAGCTATGGAGTACTTTAGAGCAGTCCCGTCCTCAGTAGTACATATCAAGGATATCGTGTGAAGTCGAACATAGGATCGTCAGGTGTCTTAAAATATTTACAGTTAGTTAGTGGCATGCAGTTTTGCTGTGTCTTTCTACACTGAATGAGTTTTGTGAACAATGATTTCCTTCGGATAGTCACTAACTCATATTCTAGCCACTATGTTCACCTATGAGACTTTGACAGCTATCCATAATAAGCAAAGCTGCTTGGATATGACGTAACTTACTTTGCATCGGATTATTGCAGCAGTGGCTAGTAGGAAAGGAATTCAGAAACAATGTTTCGTTCTATTTGAGATCTATCAGCTGAACTTACCCTCTTCTTAACGGGTATCGTTTTTCCCACGAAATACACGTTGTGGACTTCAATGCTAACCGATAATGAACCCTAGTTTTATCTTTGATAATCCTCTTCCTGCATCCCTCAGTGTTCAACAATAATATCACATTACCACACTATATTTCGTACAGCGTGAATAGGATTGATAAGAAGTAGTTTTAACGAATGGCTCTAACTAAAGGCTACTTTGTCAAGTACTGAAATCATCAAGTAAGTTTATTTACTTGTGAAAAAGCTGTTTTATCTGCCGAAAAAGGGAAAATTAGTTACTTCGGCCGTAGTTAGGGCGGCCTTTGGCGCCATTCATTCGAGCAGAAATAAACTATTTAGGTAAATGGCCAGTTAGGTATCAGTTTTTCAGCTTCGAAATTTAATTTATACTTTTATGTGTCAAAAGGATTTTTTTTTGAACAGTTCGGTGCTTTATTGGAAAAATCACGATAAACTAACTAACTGTTTATGTATACTACAAGCGTAGTTTTAACAAATAAATTTCTTTTTGCATTCGTAGGTCAATCTTCGTCTTCTGGTATTTTCGCAGCTCACTAAGGCGTAAGATGATGAAGAGATACAGGTAGTAATCGCGTACATAACCATGTGTTCAATATCGATATTTACATCACAATACCACCCGGTCACTTCAAGGATGAATGTAAGGTAGGAATGCTAGGAACATGGCAATCAGCGTGGGACGAAAATAAATTACATTTGTCGAAAAACCTACAGACCAAAAAGATATGTGACAGCTGAATATGCTAGACGGGAAAAAAGATTCGTAGAGTGCTCGAAAAAGAGTCTAGTTGATAATTAGCATGAATACACAGAAATACATTTGTCATTTTTTCCTCCCTTACTCAAAAAATGTGACATTTTAATAAAAAATCTCACACAAACACTCGTAGCAAAAAAATACACCTGACAGTCATCGATCACAGTTGATATAGGCATAGTATATGGATTATAGTAATCTTTTCTAAGTATTCCAATAGGAAAAATGCACATATAACTGAGACTTTGAACTGATTCACTAAACTTTCTTATTTATTCACTTATACAAAGTTTGGCTGCATACCAAAACGAAATATAGCACTATTTCTTAATAGTTTCAGCAAGAAAGATTTGGTTCCGAATAGATACCAAATGAAGGAGCGTTCAAACCCTGTAAGCAGCCTCTTCACACATTCTGAGGCTGAACCAACTTGGTGGAAACGACTAGATATCACCAACATCATGATTAAATTCGTTCTTAGTTCTCAGAAGAATCTCACTTCGAATATTGTTCAGAAACCGCAACGCCCCATCAGCTTCACATACTTTGAAAACAAGAACATAGTCTTAGGTTAAAAGAAAGTAGGCTGTTATAAAATGCCATACATAACCAATGGAAATAAAGTCCACTGGAAGGACAACGGTGAGATACAGAATGTTGTTTGACGCCGCACAAGTCTGTTTGTTATCTAATAACGATGTAAAGCTTTATTGATCAAGACATATTATACTGTACCTATTTTGTTAGATTGAGTGATGAATGGTTGCGTAAACTATGGTAGTTCTGGTGAACTTCAAACCTATGGTCTATTAGTTGGGGGTGGTGTGTCACAGTTTCTTATTTAAACTGAAATACTGATCAACAACAAACATTAACGGTCAAGATTAATCATGAGGAATAAAACGTCTGCAATTTTACTCATTGAATGAACATACACTTGGTACACCGAAACGGTGTATCCATTCACGGCAGCGTCTGATATTTCGACGGTAGGATTTCATCGCTTCACTTAGCATATTCATTTGATCATTTCTAGGTAAACAGATCTAAAAAATCAATTAGAAAAAATTCATGAAGCTACTCATTCAAAGTATTTTGTACGCCTATATTTATCAGCAACAAACAAAATAATTATTAGAATATATTCACTAGATTGATGAACTGAAGCAATAAGAACGACGTAAGGATAAGGTCAACAATGTATCTTCAAGTCTCTTCATAAAAAACTTGTAATTTTAATGACATTGTAACATTTAGCCCAGTTTGGTAGATGTGTCTGATAACTGAAGGTGAAAAAAATCTCAATGATGATAGGATTTGAAGCCTTAGGCCGCTGGTTCGAATCAAATTGCGAAATAAGATACAAACCTCTCGGTAATGTTTCGCTCGTAAAATTTTGCAGCACACATTTAGAGACATTTTATGTAGCAAGACGTAATGTATCTGTATGCGATAAAATCATTTTGGTCCACCAAACTAAACCCCATTGCATCCATACAGTTTCGAGCGATGAGAGACTTTCCTACTACAATGGATCAGATCAGGAAGTCAAGTATGAGACTGTCAGTTACCTTCACGCTCTTAATTTTCAGGAGGGTATTGTATCCTAATTAGAAGATTAAGTAGATGCAATTTGTGAGGTTGTAGCAGAAATTTTCATGATAATCAACGAAGGACTAACAGTAATTCAAAGACTGTCTCCAATTAAAGCAAAATTGAACACTTCCGTTCTTGATCGAAGTCGGTGACTACATATATCCCTTAACATTTCTGCTAAGCAAACACACGTACTTAATATTTTCACATATACAAAGACCAGTTTTGCGGACCATTGCCCTCTGAAGTTACGTGGAAGTAGATTTCTGCTAGCGATAGTTGTTGCTTGTAGTTTTTAAGCTATTTTCTAAAATAACCGAAATGGACCGTTTTATCTACTCCCCTTCAAATCCTTTCACAACTATGGGGATTCTTAATCTTTTGTTTGGGGCGAGGCTGTTTACGGTAACAATATCATATCAGTTAGAAAGCCAGGATCGGAAAGACAGTAAGACAGGCCTTCAATAACCTGAAACCAGTGTGGTGATCTACTCCACTCCACTCAGCATAAAGCGTGAACAAGATTCGGATTTCCAACACCAACGTCAAGTCAGTGCTTCCATGTGATGGTTCAGAAACTTGGTGCGTCACGAAAAGCATTTCAAACTAACTACAGACATACATATCACATCAACAGCTGCCCCCTTCCCTCACTCCATACTGAAAATCAGATGCCCAGAATAATAAGAATAAGCAATAAGGAACTCTGGCTGGGCAACCAACCAACCAACAACCCATCGCACAAGAAAGTGGAGATGGATTGCATTGGGGACACACTGAGAAGGCCGATTGGGGATATCACACGTCAGGCCGTCGAGTAGAATCCAAAGGAAAACGACGAGTTGGGCGTCTCATCTGAAGGTGACATAGAGGAGATGGTGTGAGGAAGAAATGAAAGCTTGTGGGCTGTCGTGGAGCCAGGTTGAAAAGACTGGAAAGAAGAGAATGAAATGGTGACGTGCAACTTAAGCCCTATGTTCCACTAGGAACCCAAGGAACAAATAAAAATATAAATAATCAGTTAGAAAAAACTTCAGTGATGTGAAAACTGTTCATGAGCCAAGACGATCAGGTTTGTAACTGTATACACTTACTTCCTGTTTTTGTAAATATAATCTGAGTAGGTATGCTGTCTGTTTACAAAAAAGAAATGGAAAGTATACACTTATATAAGCAGAAAATGTAGTTTTAAGACCTATTATATAAACCCTTACATCAATCTCTGAACTGACAGAATGTAGTGTACGCTAACTGCGAAGTTATTGTCAGATAAGACAAGGCATAAATCTTTCCAGTTAACCTTTTCTGTTACCTCTTCACTAAAAACTGATGCGTTTTATTTAGGATCAGAAAAACCATCATACGCGTTCTACAACTTAGTAGATGAGATAACAATTTCATCCTTTGAAATCCCACCTCTGTATGATTCCGTTAGCCTGTTGGAATCTGAATCAACAGTTCCAGATTGGCAAGAAACATCTCTTTGTTTAGCTGATAGTGTTATTATTAAACTTAAAATACTTACTTTCATAAAGATATAGCAACATATTCAATAAATAAGTGTAAAGTCCAGTGAACAAATAGACTAAATAATGCTTATCAGCAGAAAGTTGGAGCAATTTTTATTGCTCTGGTCACCAATGTATTCGTATTTTGATATTTTCTTGCCATAAATAGTACTCAACTACCAATTTCAGTAAGTGCTCATGAAAAAATAGTGCTTTAGGTGTGAATCTATCAGAAGGGTTTGTATTTGTGGTCACTCATCGGCTGAGTGCATCTTAAACCTTCAGCAAACAGGCCAAGACCTTCGCACTGAATGAAACAGATTCAGATCTTTAATAGAACACGAGTCTGGTTAGGCTTTCAGATACAGAATGAGATCTTTTGTAATCTGTAATTTTATCCTCGCCGTCAATAAGAACGAAAACACAAAACATATGCACGTACAAATAATATACGTTAGACATTTAGTTCCCTTGATAAGTTTGAACAATAGCTTAGTCGTAACGTATCTGAATGCAGCATTGGGTGATGTGGATTCGAATCTCAGGCGGGAAATCAATTCCGTCGTGGTTGCAGAAACAAGTTACTGACGAGCGTCAAAAAGTACAAAGCCCAAATTCAGGGCTTCCTACCGATTACTCGACCCAACTAACATGCATCTCAGTGCATTGAGACGATAAGTCTCCGAGCCTGATAACCACACTGCAAAATGATTGGTAGAATTCGATCAGCTCTAGGACTAGAAAACATGAAGTTGGTTACCCTCCAGTGACCAATCAACGGGTGTTTCATACCTCTATAAACCAGTGCTACCATTTAATTATTATTTTCACATATTAGTGAAAACTCTTCTCAGTGGTTTACGGAAAAACTTTTGATTTTCCCAGCGCACTGATTCAGCCATTTACAAACGATCTTTTAAAAAAATACGCGAATGCTGTTTGACCGTAATGTAGCTTCATGAGAGGAGCCAGCGGGTTGATCAAGGTGACAATAACATCAATATAGGCGTAAAACTTGGTTACTGTGGTAGAATTTAATTCCGTATTAGATTTGTTTATTTGATTTATAACACACACAATGATATAGTATTATTTACTTGATAACGTCTTGAGCATAAATTATTGCTCATAACCATATCAATGGAATCACACAACTTTCGACATTTGATTTTTATAGTTATGTCACCTCATATGATTTGTTTTTTATTGGTAGTGAAGTTTTCCATATCTCTGGTACAGATGTTGCGTCATTTCCATTACATGTGTTGCGTGTTGATTCGATGGACGAAGATTCAGTAACCAATCTCTCTCTCAACCTAATTATATTAGATTTAAGTACAGTGGTTTCATTCCATCCTATTGTGTGGTCGCGTGTTAATGTGTGCATTTCAATAGCCGAGTTTTTTTCTAGATTATTGATCTTATTCGGGTCTGTCATTCTATATTTAGCTAAATTCCTATGTTCGGCTATTCTAACTGACCCCAACCGTCTAGTTTGACCGCTGTACTTGACCTCACAGTCATTTCATGGAATTTGGTGGATTAGATTATTTTGCTTAATTGGTTCCATCGGATCCTTAAGCTAGCCGACAAAGCTTATCTCTGAGTGAGTTTGTAGGTTTAAATGCGACCCTAATTCCAACTTTGTTGAGGATTCTATGCAAAGTTTCTGATGTACCTTCCTTACACGGCAACGCATTGGAGGCTGTGAACTCTTTCCTACTCGTGTTGTCGTTATTATTCGTACCCGTGTTACCGTTATCGTTCCGTTTCTTGTGTGTTCGTACGAATTTCTGAATAAACTCTGGAGGATAATTATTAACTATTAGTGCTCCTTTTACGTGTTTCGATTCCTTGTTTAGGTCCTTGAACTGACTAGTTAGTTTTATAGCTCGATCAATTAGATATTTGACTAAGCCTGCCTTAACTGACAACGGATGGGATGACTTGAAGCCTAGATACCTGTTGGAATGTATTGGTTTTCTGTAGACAGTAGTATTCAAACCACAAGACAGAGCTTTGTGATGAAACCAAAAACATACATGTATTGTAACTATTCCGACACATATAAAATGATAAAGTTCGCTAACAATTTGAGTATAAACACTTATGCCCATGTAGCATGATTAGGCTGAATGTTTTCAACATCCTATATCCCACTTGGTCTCACATTTCTCGACTGTCTATTCGGTTGATCGAGTTCATATCAATTTTTCTGTAAGTTAAGAACTGACTTGAACATTAAACGGTTATAAACTTTCTGTATTTTCTGCACCAGAGAAGTATGAAACCAATGGAAATAATAAAATGTAAATGATGAAATGAAACCAATAAAACTAATCACTCTTATTATTCTTCTGTCATGGGATTATATCAAGCCATGCTAAAAATATTTTTTAATTAGTGTCTGTAGCAAGCTGATTTAAGCAACCTACTTTGAACTATAAGGTCATGAACTCGGCTTGCATTTAGATGCTGTGGTTTTGAAAAAAGAAAGTTCACAGTCTTATGCATGAACATATATACGATTGGTGAGTTGTATTTCGATTGTCTAGTAATTATGATGTAAACTTCACTGTTGAAATATTTAGCAAGTAGAAGTCAAAACTACAAGGGTAGCTCAAGGTTTATTCATGCCCCATCGAAATAAAGATATCACACAAAAACATTCAAATTACACCTCATGACGACTGACCTTTATATTTGTTGTTGGTCCAATTAATTTATTCACCAAATGAACTAAAATAACACCAGTACTTAGTTCGATAGCTAAGTGTTTCGGACTGACAGGTAGGTGTATATTCAATTCTTTATCAATTATCTGTAGAAAAACAAATAAGAGATGAATAGAAATGACAAAAACGGAAACCAGTCTCCATGATAAACTTATAATCCTTGAACATTTGCGCAAAAGCGATCCTATTTGTTAATTTTATGATAAATGTAAAATCTCTCAGCAAGCTAGTGTTTCAGGTCTCAAGACAGCTGACCCATACATGAATACCTCACGCTCTAAAGTCACCTGTTAGAAAAGACAAAGGCCCTAGGAGACTAATGAGGTTACTTACTTGCCCAAAATCACAAACAAAAGCTTGCTAATATTATTTGTTGATACTTGTAATCCTTATACTGGACCAAACTGATCGACCTATGAGGGTATGTGGGCTCCGATGTGGATGCCTCGATATTGCCTGAATAATTATTGTTTTAAATGACTTGACTGTTGCAAGCAGTGGAATCTGGGACGCGTGTTTCCTCAACAAATAAGAATAACTAATGCCCGTTGTATAATAGGCGGCTATCTTGTCTCAGTGGGAATAACAGCATTCACTAGAATGCAGGTATATCCAACTGACGAGTCTATAAGGGGACAAAAAGGACGTCCTAGATTCCACTGTTAGGCACAACCAAGCCAATTACAAGCTTGTTAGGTTAACTAACAAGGGGAAGAAAACTAAGAACGCATTTCTGAATTTGTGAACTTAAGATGTGCATAAATGTAGCCATCAAAGCCTCTGAACTATCCAAATACAATAACAGATGATAAGCATTGATAATATACTAGACTTTTTTGAAAAGGGAACTAGTATTTACACATCACTTATGTTCTGTAATTCCCTGTTAAACACTTACATGGGTTGAATTGTTCTGCCATTGTAGGTCTTTGAAATGGATCCCTCAACAGTGCCTTAAGTTTCATTCCAATTCTACTTATCTGGTGGTGCCTGGCACAAAAATTCTGAACGTGAACTTCATCCTACCCAAGATTATTGGACGTGAATCATAGTGATTAATGACGTTCTAATGAAAAACTAGACCCAGCACTCCTTGCGAATTATCTCTTGTGTGACGAATTATGGTTGTTGATTAGGCAGTATATAAGCGAACTTAAAATCAATCTACACGCTATCAGAGACTAATAACATGTCTGAAGAAGAACCATCGCTTACCGGGATATGGATAAATTTAGCTTACTACCTGAAAGTGAACGAAGTGCTCATCTCGGATTCCAATACCAGCCACCTCAGTCAAAAAAAACCCCATAAAACTGACTTGACTTACACGTCTTAATTGATGAATTTTATTCAGCCCTTCAGGATATAAATCCTCCCATTTGATGATTCCACCAAGCTGATTTATCTTCATACACTCTGATTCACTTCTATATAGCGTTTCTGTGGTCATACTGGCATTGTTATTTAAGGAGCTATTAGTAGATAATACATTTGAATTCTGATGATTAGTTGTAAACTGCAGAGCTGGTGACTTGAGAACAGACTCAGAAGGGATACACATGGCCACGCCAATTCGTGTAGCTTTAGGTAATTCATACTTATCTGGACCACTTCTGAGTGGACGATAGGAGTTTTGGTTGGCATTTGTTGTAACTCTATGACAATGACTAAAACTCCGATGACGATACACTTTTCTCTGTGATGCACTTGACTTTCCTGGGTAGTGTGAGTTAGACGATATACTGCAAGGGTCGACTTGAAGAAACCTTTCTGGTGCCATCTAAAATGGTTTCAAGTAAAAATAAGAGTAACAGACTAACCGTGATAACTATAACGATATTTTGCAATAATATGATTCATTTAGAATTGAAACTATAATCTAAACTTGACTGTTGCTTCAAACCGCTGTTTTTGATAACTTTGAAGCCTGCTTACCGACTTTCCTGCTGAGAGATATGTCGTTTTACGTAGTGAAAACTTCAAAAAAAGACTTCCAGCAATGTATAGTCTAGGCAGGAAGAGGTGCAAGAAAAGACCAAAAACTATGTCTCTAATTGGTAAACAAACAAGGAGTACAAGGAAGAAGAAATGGATTCACAAAAAATGCATAATATATGCGGGAAAAGGTAGTCAGAGTTTCGATGGAATTGTATCTAAATTTCTTAGATCGAGACTGTGGCTTACGACCGGGTCTCCGACCATCATTTCGACAATCTCATGAACCCTGTTCGATCCCGCATTGTTCACCCCAATAGTGAGACAATATTTTTCCAAGTCAATACCACCCTCGTCTGCATACAGCTGTCAGAGAAGCGTTTCATATAGTAACTAGAAATCCTGAAGAATTTACAACCTACAACTCAGGACTAATTATTATCATTCGTGAAACTAGCATGAACTGAATAAATGTGAATTCTGAACTTAACTGGGGCCTCAAACTGTAATCTATCAATTTTATAAAGAAACATACGTGAAACAATCTCTAGAGAGGATCAGTAATACCTATCAAATAACAATACGATCATAAGAAATATAGCTTAGGAAAAAAAACGCTGATGAATACACGAAACTGCAGTGAAACCCAGTGATTTTAATTTAGATCAAGAGTTTTTAATGCTATCGCAAATATTAGATGCTTGGCGAAAATTTGAAATTAAACGTAGGTTATATTTGTGTAAATAACCAAATTTTTGATTATTCTCCTGAATAAGCTTGGACCACGCTTCCATGAGAAACGTTGCAACTTTCAAACACGCTGTAACTTATACCAAGATTACCTGTATCTGGTATCAGTTTTTAATATTATTACACTACTCGTAAGTAGTTCAAACTGGTACTCAAAATTACTGCACAAATAAGTACATGGCATTGAAAAAGTGCACTGTTAACATGACGCAACTTTAGTTGGAACGTTCACCAAGAGACTTTGGCGCAATTATCACTCTTCTCTGCGCTTTCGATATTTAACAGGTAAGCCTACTCGGAAAAAAATTATAAAAGGCAAGAAAAAATGTAGAAAATGCTACTATCCAAAGAGACAACTGAATGATCATTTTCAGATAACGGAGAGATTTATGTAAAATATCTAAATCAGTTTACACAGTGCAAACAAACAGAATACTGTACAATCAGTTTTCCTCAATGAGACTCAGGTATTTTGAAATCAGTGGTGGCCTAGATGTATATCTCGGCAACGCCAGCAAGTCACCAAAATGTGGCAAAGCAACCAACCAAATACAGTTATTCACCGTATACCAACTAGTCTTCGACGTAGTCTACGTATTCGCTTGTTACACACGACAGAAACTGTTGCCATATACCTCTAGAAAGTAAATCTCCGTATTCAGAAGAAACTCGTGCAACCTCCGTTATTATCTTGGGCATCAGGGTAGATTAAAGTCTTAGTTTAAAATAATTTTTTTGCCTGATTGCTTACATATTAGTTTGAATCCACTAGGCATTTCTCTACTACATAACAATTTGTCAGTTCGGGACCTTATGATATGCTACTATTCGAATAAGAGGAGACAAAAGTTGGTTTCATCAATGTTATCAGCTGACTAGATTTTACTATTGAAAAATGTTCTCCAGATTCACACAGCATATAACATTCTACATTATTTTGCTTTTATATCAGCGGTGTTGCAGGGTCTGCGATTTAGGGACCTAGGCGTTCAAGGACGAATACTCATTGGAATAGTAATTAAGCTATTACAAAAACAGGTAAAGGGATAATCAGGTATTATCTCTAAATTGGATATAGAAACTATTCACTCACTTGCTGACGCTTAGAACATCGGAAACGTGAGGAGCTGGTAAGACGTCCTCCTTTGACACATCTGTCATATTTAACACACACATTGTTTTCCGAACCGTTTAAACTTAGGTTAATTTGTTGGGAATCAGTGTCAGAAGACAAAGTTTCATTGGTACTGACGTAACCATTCACCCACTCAACTGCAGAAGATTTTGACATACCATCATTTTTATCGGATATTACTGATTTGAAAGACATGTTTGTATTTACATTACAAATAGAAGTAAAGTGTTTGGCTGCAAAAAATAATATTCAAGACGGTGAATAACTAGTCCTTTTAAACAAATTTAAACACTAGACATGATGAAAAGTAAGCCTAAAAAGCAATGTGCGTAAAAACTAGTCACTAGATAAACAGTTCAAAAGTACATAAACGTTATCTTAGAAGGTAACGGTGGATGTTTCATGTACAAAATTGGTTTGTGGATATTATTCATTGAGACCTAAGTAGCCCAGCATTATACATCGATTGTTCACGGGAAAGTAACAAATAATCTTAGGTGCTGATCGAATATTCGCAGCTACTTTGAAATATAGTCACTTAGATAGGAAATTCACTATGATGGTGTAATTTGATTGACGCTAGTTCGTCACACGCAATCAGCAGGAAACAAGATATTCAGCGAAGAGGACTATTATCAACCAATTTATTCTCAAGCTGTACATTCATATATAATGTACAACTTGAGAATAAATTCGTTGAAAAGAGTCCTCTTCACCAGATACCTTGCCTTTGAATCAGCAGGTAGCCCTTATTAATCTAGGTTTAATGCTTTTTGACAGCAGTCGACAAAGAGTATCTGTGATCTTAAGAGAACTGATTTCTCGTCAAAGATTCAAACCTATGTTGCTCAGGGCTGAAGTCAAAGATGCCATCACTAGTCAATAGAATCCACTGATTACTAAAGACTAGCTAATTCATTATCCTCCAGGACATCATCCAGTCGTACAAGAGGCGAGTCACGATCCTAAAAACTTACTGGTAAATTCTCTGATTGCGGCACTGGGTGAAGCGGGTTCGGATTTCTCAAGAGATATCATTTCCTAGAGGTTACAGATATGCATTATCGACATTTGTGAACGATTGCCACGGATCACATAATGACATTTCAATAGCACCTTTCTTTATCTAATAGTTTTGGCGTTCTCAGTCTACTATGAATTCGATACAATGTGATATACTGAAATACGTCTAGGAACGCTTTAATAATAACCTCCAGATTCCATTCTTGTTGGCCTTCCAACTCTTTGGAAGTAGGAAAGTATGTAAAACAGCAGGTATGTTACATATATATATATATATATATATATATATATATATATATATATATATATATATATATATATATATAATTTTAAAAAGGCATTTTCTTTTGATTTCTTCCTTACAGTCAGTATGGTAATACTTATATCGTAATATGAGTTTTATTGAAAATTCAGAGTATGTTGACTTCTCGTGAAGAATCTCAGGCTTTTTAGAAAGATCTGACCATAACATTTTATATCATAATAGAAGCTCAAATACAAATTACAGACAAATGCTTCCAGTTAATGAATAGGTAACAACGTAGCCTCAAGGTATAAAATTTTGAGCCTGCATCCACACAAGTGTACACAAAATTGAGAAACCCCGTGGTAAAATGAAACATTTGCCCAAATCTCTTGACTTTCACTCATCTCAAGTTAATGAATTCACAAACCATTTACAACCTAGTGTTAATTAGTAAGTTTGCAATGAATTTTTAAAACCCCAAGTCAAAAAATTTCACCTGCAGAGTCAAATAAGTTGTGAATAAGAACAGAAGAATAAAACATTGTATACCTGACAGACGCTGGCAGACATTTAACACTGAACTCTGGTTCGACGGCTGTGTTAGTGTGTTGTGTCGAACTTGGAATGCTTAGGGTTTAATATAGCCATAGTGTCTAGATTCCCAATGAAACAAACTAAATGCTCAGTTTTCTAAAGGATCTTCATTGGTTGTCAACCAATTTGCAGAAAAGTTAGAAATATAGCAAATTTGTAGTTTTTTCCGCTTCTACGAACAGGCAACAGAAATTGCATGTCTTATTTCCTACCAAAACTACATATTGTGAAAAATCAACAAGACTACGTCTGAAACCATGATGACGCCGATTATTTGAATGAGTCGATGAACGAAAAGAACGTGAGCTAACTAATATTTAACCCTGCATACTGATTAGAGCGAAAGGTGATGTGATCCACATAGGCTCACAAAATGAATGCATTTCTCAAATGGATAAAATCTTTATGAACTATTAAGTTAGGACTTTAGTGCTTATAATATGCAACAAATCCAAATGATAACTCAGAGAAAATACGTTTATTCATTAAAACTTTTATTTCAATGAATGCCATCATTAAATGTTTGCTAACTCACTTGAAGACTCACTGTCACTATGGTTAAATTCGTGCGAAATGTTTGATTTTAAATTATCACTGACTTTTGCATTCTTGTCGTATACGGAATTCTACAAGGATAAGTAGAATACATGGTAATGGAACTGATTCACAGTGAAAGTGGGTTAAAGAAAAAGACAAAAGGATGCAATTTGTTACCAAAATGACCTAAATGCGATAGATCTGCGAGAATGTCCAGTACTGGCTAATTACCTAGGAAGTTTAAGTGGTAAAAAAAATCAAACAAGCAATCCCTACTCTTAAAATAGCGGTGAAAAGTAACCAAAAAATAAAGTATCCTCAACAATAAGGAGGAAGCTAAATGGAGAAAAACATTAGGTCTGATCAAAACAAATGAAAATAAACTGGCAGTGACAATCCACATTACATTTTGTCACTGTCTTAATCATGAATTTCCATAATCGAATAAATAACAGTGAATAAAACTACACTTCTCTGAACAGTCCCCTATATCGACAACACTGGATCTGTGGTTAATTATCATATGTATCATATCTTCACCATTCCAAATGTCATACTTAACTTTAAGGTTTTCGCCATGAAACCTGAAGGTCTTCAATTTATCCCTGGTTAGTTCATAGATGCCTGCTGCTGAGGACTCCCATACTAGGACGAGACAGTTGTCCAGTGCTCTCAGAATTTCAATGGTTTTCCAACTGATCTCAGTCCGCGATGAATACTACCTTAATTCATAGATTTCTATTAACTAACCCACCACCACTGAATAATACTGGTATCCAATGTAAAGCCTATATATTAGTTTAGAGCTAGTGACGAAGAAGTAATTGAGAAGAAATATTTCTTCGCTCAATCTTTTTATATTTCTAAATAAAAATCTTTAACATCTAATCCCGTCTATTCTACTCTTGCTTTAGACTCCACAGACTTTTGTGGATAAAAGTTTAGTGAACCGGATGGCTAATATTTCTATATCTTTTAATATATCGTTGTAGGTGTAACTGAAAAACAGGGTTGTTTAACTTTTGAAAGCCTAGATACAACGATCTAATTCGTTCGGAAAAAATTATACTGAAGCCAAATGAATTAAAGGATGGAGATGTCGTCTACTTTATCAGAGAAATCAAGATGAGTTTTTCTTGGTATTTGCTAGTAGTGATATCCAGGGTACGCATTATGTTCTACTTTGGGTTCGCCAGCTGGATATATCTGCATCCTAGTAATTGATGGTATTCCCACTGCGACTGGAACCTGACAACCGTTGTTTCAGATACTGGAGGGACTACTGAGGTAGAAGAGATACCTCTAATGTAACAATCAAAGGTTGTCAATGAATCCAAATTATTATCGGTGCATTTGCAAAGAAGTTCATATTCCAACAGAGGTCAATCAAATCGATCCGGCATAACAGGAAATTGCAAGTATCTATGAAAAAGCAGTATGATTTTCATCCACTTTTTAAAGCTGACAACTGTTAATTAATCCGAAAACAGCCCTACCCGATAAATTAATTGTTCAGAAGTAGCAACAATGTGCACTTCAGGTAGAATAAATGAACCAGTTTCATTGCTTTAGTAGGAGATAGCCATGTAGAAGTAGCTTTGATTACTTTTGTCGGACCATATAGTTTCATCAATCATGTCAAAATAACTTCAAAGGAACTTATTCCCGCAAAGAAACTACGCCCATGAAATCATTACACATCACTTCAGCAGACAGCAGAATAAGATAGTACCCAATCACAATAAACCTATGCCCACAGAAACATAGAACAACTGAATCTGAACAACCAGTCTCCGGGAAAAAAGTGCTTGTAACCAACTTATCTAGATAAATCAGAATAAGACATGCCGGTGAATAAAGGTGCTTTCAATCAAATCCACGTTTAGGCCTAACTTTAGCACACACAGCCCGCTCTCTCTTTAGGTGACCTGTGGATCAATTATAATGGGGTTATAAATTGTGCAATTTGTAATGACACCGACAAAGTAAAAGAAATCATATGGTGATAAAAAGTTATGAAAGAACAGACATTTCGCAATCAAAGTATCTACAATGAGCCACAAAAAGATAACTTTCACAAAGATATTCGTTCCCAACAATTTCATTCAAATGCATTCAAATACAATTAATGCCTTGATTAGATATTAAAAATCTCAGTATGATTGTCAAACAAAAATTCCTTCTGGATTTCAGCCAGATGAATTAGTAGTGTAGACATAAAAGCAATGCAAGAAGTCTGAAAAAAATTTACAGTGTGGATGAGTGAATGCAGTTAATCAGTATGGGCTGAAATTAACAAATCATGAATACGTACCAAAGTGAGTAAATGATTGTCTTTCAGTGAGTAGGTGAATTACAAATCACTATGTATACTGAAAAACCTCGCCTGGTTAACTAGTTTACTAGTTACTAGCCGGTCCTAAGCCCGGGTAAAGAGGGAAGGTTGGGCATAGGGCTAGCAACCCTACCCCGTAAAACAAATCTAACCGCTAAAGAAACTTCAAAGCACAAACAAAATATAAAAAATGAAAACAAACTTATTCCCCGCTGGAATCGGAGAGGCGAAATGACGCCAGTTGGTGAAAGCCTTCGGGAAGCCAATTGGCCGATGTGTCTTCTCTCGATGAAAGCGAAAGTAAACGTGGGGACATGGAATGTCCGCACGATGTTTGAACCCAGTAAGGCAGCCCAGATTGCAAAGGAGATGAGAAGGTATAACATCGAAGTGCTTGGGATTTGCGAAAGCAGATGGAATGGGAGTGGACTCTCCAAACTGTCAACTGGAGAATCAATAATCTACTCCGGTCACCCAGACGCCAACCACGAGCACACTGAGGGAGTGGCTATCATGATGTCCTCAAGAGCATCGAAGGCTCTCATGCAGTGGGAACCAATCTCCTCCAGGATCATGACAGCAAGATTCAACTCAAAAGGAAGAAAGGTCACAATCATACAATGTTATGCACCTACAAATAATGCAGAGCAAGAGAAAAAGGAGGATTTCTACAGACAACTTCAATCAACACTGGACAAGACGTCAGTTGGCGATATCAAAATTCTAATGGGCGACATGAATGCCAAACTGGGAGGGGACAACACGGGAAGAGAACTAACCATGGGTCGAGAGGCGCTAGGTGAAATGAATGAGAATGGAGAATTGTTTGCAGAATTCTGCGCATTCAACGATTTGGTGATTGGAGGCAGTGTGTTCAGGCACAAAGATATCCACAAAGCGACATGGATTTCACCAGATGGACACACTAAAAATCAAATCGACTTTATCTCAATCTCAAGAAAATGGAGACGCAGTCTACTTAACACAAGGTCAAGAAGAGGAGCAGATGTAGGTTCAGACCACTATCTAGTGCAAGGAACCTTCCAAATCAAGTTAAAAGCCTTCAAGGAAGCTGGTGATAGACCTCAATTCAAGTACAACACTCGGAAACTGAAGGATGAAACTACAAAGGAGATCTTCAAGGCAGCCATCAAGACAAAATGGGAGACATCGAGCAACATCCCTGAAGAAACCTGTGTGGAAGAACACTGGAAGTCTTTGAAAGCTATGTGGAAAGAAACCTGCACAACAGTATTAGGAAGGAAGAAGAAAGAAGACAAGGAATGGATCTCGACGGATACCTGGAAGCTGATAGAGGAGAGGAGGATGGTGAAGCAGAAGATAAACCAGTGCAAGGATGCTCAACGACAAGAGGAACTGAGCACAATGTATAAAACACTGGACAAAGAAGTGAAGAAGAGTGCACGCAAAGACAAAAGACACTTCTACGAAACACTGGCAAGTGAAGCAGAACAGGCTGCAGGTAAGAGAGACCTGACGACATTGTATCAAATAACCAGGTTGCTATCAGGGAAGAGACCAACACAGATGAAACCAATAAAAGATGAAGAAGGAAATTTAATTACAAAAGAAGAGAAACAGAGGAAACGATGGGCCGACCACTTCAAGAAGCTCTTGAATCGACCACCACCTGCACTTCGTCCAGAAATACCACCTGCAGCCGCTGAACTACAAGTGAACATTAATCCCCCAACGAAAATGGAAGTCCTGAACGCCATAAAGCTACTGAAATGCGGGAAAGCAGCAGGACCAGATGGAATACCGCCAGAAGCACTGAAAACAGATGCAGAGACAACAGCGGACATGCTCACACCACTATTGCAGAAGGTGTGGAAGGAAGAGAAGGTACCTGACGATTGGAAGAAGGGTTACCTTGTCAAACTGCCGAAGAAGGGAGACCTCAGTGCTTGCAAGAACTGGCGCGGAATCACTCTCCTGTCCACCCCAAGTAAAATATTAAGCCGCATCATCCTGGAGAGGCCTAAAGACGCACTGGATTCAAAACTACGACCGGAACAGGCAGGCTTCAGGAAGTACAAATCATGTGCAGACCAAATTGCAACGCTTCGTATCATCATAGAACAGAGCATAGAATGGCAATCACCTCTCCACCTCAACTTCATCGACTTTGAGAAGGCCTTTGACAGCGTCGACCGAGAAGTAATTTGGAAACTGCTTCAATACTACGGAGTACCGCAAACCTTTATCCGCCTCATTCAACAACTATATGAAGATGCCACATGCCAAGTAATCCACAATGGGAAGCTCAGTGATGCCTTTGAAGTGAAGACAGGAGTGAAACAAGGTTGCCTACTATCCCCCATGATATTCTTGATTGTGGTGGACTGGATCATGCAGCAAACAGTAGGCAGCGAGAAGAGGGGGATACACTGGACGACGGAAAAGAACCTAGAAGACTTGGATTTCGCCGATGACTTATGCCTAATGTCACATAAACTTGAAGATCTGCAGGCAAAAACTAACAAGTTGATAGAAGAGGCAGCTAAGACGGGACTTCAGGTGAATATAGAGAAGACAGAAGTGATGAAGATACCGCACCACCACCATCAACAACAACAACAAACTCCAATCACCGTCAACGGGAGAAACTTGAAGGAAGTAACCTCCTTCACTTATCTAGGAAGCACTGTTTCAACTACAGGCGGGACGGACGAGGACGTCAAAGTCAGAATCGGAAAAGCAAGACAGGCGTTCATTAGCCTGAAACCAGTG